GGAGGAGAAGTAAATTTACGTTGTATTATTTACACGGGAAAACCTCAGATTCAGCTCTCGCTACTTCTGTAACCATTTAAGCTTCCGTAAAGTATATTCTTGGCAACAACGAACGGCCAGCGGTCTTTCTTTGCTAGATGGCTGAGTGGGATGGTTTCACTTAGTAATCTCTGCAGTCCCAATTGTTGTCGTTAACTGAATGCTAGGGTTATAGGCAAGGCAACTTCTTGCTGGTTCCCACAACCAAATAACTGGGAAGTCCCAGGTGATTTGCTAGCAGGCCAGCAGGCAGGTAAATAGCTACTGCTGAGTAGGAGAGGGCAGGAGGGGATGCCCAAGTGTGTGAAGGAGGCTCAGCAGGAGTCAGGGAGGTGCAGAGAGGGTGTCTGGAGGAGTGGTAGGGGAGGCGTGGCAAAGCCCAGGCAGGGTGCATGGTGTGCAAGTGGCTGGTGTGAGCACAGAGGGGATGGGGAAGGATGCATAGGTGGGAACGACCCAATGATTTATGACTGTCCCTGCTGGCTTTCCCACTGACTCCTTGGGGAAGCCAGCAGGAAAAGTCATGAATGGCAATCACAAGATCACGGGGGCTGTAACCAATTGTAAAGTTGATGAGTGCCCAGACTACGATCACATGACTGCGGGAACGCTAGGATGGGGGAGCGCCGAGGGCCAGTCGTAACCACTATTCTTTCAGCACTGCTATAACTTCAAACATTTGCTGAGTGAATGGTCATAAGCCGAGAACTACCTGTATATTCCATAAGCCTGGCTGGGTTTGGACAAAATGCAGGCTAAATCTAAAACAGGATTTCCCATCCTCAGCTGGGAGGATAGGGGTGTCACACAGAAGCAAAGAATGGACTGCAGAACAGTAGCAAATTCCAATGGAACAGTTGGGCTGTGTCAAGGTTCCAACTAATGAAACACTTCAAAGAACTTCCAGGCATTTTATCCTTAAAAAGTCTTTTTATTTATGTGACAAAATGTCGGCACAGGCATGATAAGGAATGCTAGGATCTGAAAATCTCCACCCACCGAGCAGTTATTTTTGCTAGCATTCCACTCCCTATTTTGCTGTCACAATTTACGTTCCCCAATTAGTGTGAAGGGCAAAGGTTCCCTTCCTTTCCCTTCCGTGGCTTTTCCCTCCTCCCTCATTCTCTTCTGCATTAACTCTAAAAATACCAGACAGTTCTGCATATTTTGTCAAAGCAAGAATATCCAATATTAGCAGCGTTGACAGGCTGATTGGCCACTCAAAACGACCAAGATTATTTTGCGGTGGGAATAAAAAAAATGAGCGTTCTTTGGAAATACTATTCTCTAAAAACACAAATTTTATTTCCCACTTGAAAGATTCGAAATGTTTCGTGCGCCCTCGTTTGTCATAATGTCTGAACTTGTACATGTGCACATGCGTGTGTGTGTGCAAACATCAGCTGGTAAGGTCTTTAGTTTTTTTATTTTGAGGGCCTCTCAAAATTTTCTCTCAAAAGAAAATGTGAGGGCCTCTCAAAAGAGCGTCAAGGTCTTCTTTCTGTAGGGACAAGGTTCCACTAGGAGGGAGCTGCCATGGAGAAGGCCTTCTTCTTGGTCCCACTTAGAAGTGGGTCATGTAAATGAAGGTTCAATCATCCAGGCCAAAAGTATCTCAAAAGGTGAAATCATGGCAACTGGACCAAAGTTTATTAGAAGTGGTCCTAGGGCAATGGTGGCGAACCTATGGCACGGGTGCCAGAGGCGGCACTCGGAGCCCTCTCTGTGGGCACACGCACCGTCTCCCCAGCCCCACCTCTTCCCACGACCCCCTCCTCACCAGCAGCCACCCCAGAGAAGAGTCACCCCTGGGCGCACCCCACTTGAAGCAGCGCAGCCAAGGACATGGTAGCTGGGCAGCGGGGACAAGACTCCGCCCTTGCGCCCCGTCGCGTGCAGATGATGCTGTGGGGCACAGGCGGAGGGCGTGGTGATCTGTGGTGGGCCGTGGAGGTGGTGGGTGGCCCAGTGGGCAGGGCGGAGCGGGGACAGGGGTGGGGGGCAGTTTTGGGGGCACTTGGTCTCTAAAAGGTTCACCATCACTGTCCTAGGGTTTTCCTTAGAAGAGGGCTCTAGGACAGGGGTAGGCAACCTTGGCCCTTTTATGACTCCTGGACTTCAACTCCCAGAATTCCTGAGCCAGCACGGCTCAGCTTGGAAACCTCTCCCTTTCCCCTCAGCATGGCTGGCTCAGGAATTCTGGGAGTTGAAGTCCACCAGTCATAAAAGAGCCAAGGTTGCCTACCCCTGCTCTAGGTCTTTCCACACTTGTATGGAGCCACTCATACACTGCTTGCTAATGGATTCCAGACAGGGCTGGCCACTCTGCTTTGGCCCTTCCTCCCCTTTGTGGTCCTTGAAGGCCGCTGCAGAAACAGGAGAAGGAAAGGACCCGGGAGAAGCAGGAAAAGATCTTACCCGGATGAACTGCTGGAACCGCTTGTCCCGAGTGAAGAGCTCTTTGTAGAGCTTGACAGCTTTGGTGTGATGGCTGCAGAACTCTGAGTAGGCCTTCTTCATTTGCTCGGCAGTAGGGCCTGAAAACTGAAAGGCAGGATTGCTTGGACTAGTAATGAAGGCACTAAACTAGAAACTAGGAGACGGCGAGTTCTAGTTCTGCCTGAGGCATGAAATCTGTCTGGGTGATTTTGGGCCAATTACCAGGTGGTGAGTTCTAGTTCTGCCTGAGGCATGAAACCCGGCTGGGTGACTTTGGGCCAATTACCAGGAGACGGTGAGTTCTAGTTCTGCCTCAGGCATGAAACCTAGCTGGGTGATTTTGGCCAATTACCAGGTGGTGAGTTCTAGTTCTGCCTGAGGCATGAAATCCGGCTGGGTAATTTTGGGCCAATTACCAGGTGGTGAGTTCTAGTTCTGCCTGAGGCATGAAACCCGGCTGGGTGACTTTGGGCCAATTACCAGGAGACGGTGAGTTCTAGTTCTGCCTGAGGCATGAAACCCGGCTAGGTGACCTGGGGCCAGTCACCATCTCCCTGCCCAACTCACCTCACAGGGTTGTTGTTGAGGGGAAAACAAAAGGAGGAAGGAGTACAGGTAGTCCTCGACTTACTGCCACAATGGAGCCCAAACTTTCTATGGCTAAATGAGACATTTATTGAGTTTTGCCCCATTTTACGACCTTTCTTGCCACAGTGGTTAAGTGAATGACCAGCTTCCCTGTTGACGTTGCTTGTCAAAAGGTCGCAAAAGGGGATCACGTGACTCCGGGACGCTGCGACAGTCATAAATGCCAACCAGTTGCCAGGGGCCTGAATTTTAATCATGTGACCATGGAGATGCTGCAGGGTTTGTAACTGTGAAAAACGGTCGTAGGTCACTTTTTGGGGTACCGTCATAACTTTGAACGGTCACTAAATGAACTGTTGTAAGTCGAGGACTACCTGTATTAGATATGTTTGCCACCTTGTTTATAAAATAACAATACAGGCGGGATATAAATAAATAGTGAGAGGGGGGAAGACGCAAGAGCGGAGCCGGTGGGGAGAGGTCCTCTGTAAGGAGGCGCCTTCCCATACCTGCTGGATCAGGATGTCTCCCAGGCGGTTGATTACAAAATTCTTGGGGCTGCCGTCAGCCAGAGATTCCTTCCGGCGTTCCAAAAGGCGGGCCAGGAAGCTGCCATGGATCTCACTGAGCTCGTCCACGCAGGGGAACATGCTCTGCACCACCGAGGCGTCCATCTGCAGGTCTTCCAGCATCCCCTTGCGAAAGAGGTTGGTCATGATCTTCAGGGTCTGGACGTGATGCAGCTCTGTCTGGATCAGCTCTGCAGGGACAGGCAGGAGAAAGAAACTAGGCTGGGGGACAAACGGGGGCTGGGCTGGAGGTCCTAAAAACAGGGAAGGATAGAATCTCACAACTGAGTAACAACAGCGTGTCCTGAAAACAGAGCAACAGGGTTGGAAGGGACCTTGGAGGTCTTCAATTCCAACCCCCTGCTCAGGCGGGAAACCCTGCTTGCACCAGAGGGCAGGACGAGAAACAATGATTGGAAACTGATCAAAGAAAAGAAGCAACCTGGAATTAAGGAGAAACTTCCTGACGGTGAGGACAATCAACCAGTGGAACAGCTTGCCATCAGGAATCGTGGGCGCTCCATCCCTGGAGATTTTCAAGAAGTCACTTGTTTGAGATGGCATAGGTTCTCCTGCTTGAGCAGGGGGCTGGACTAGGAGACCTCCAAGGTCCCATTCTATTCTATTCTATTCTATTCTATTCTATTCTATTCTCATTCTGTTCTATTATTTTCTGTTCTAGTCTGTTCTAGTCTATTCTATTCCCATTCTCTATTCTATTCTATTCTATTCTATTCTATTCTATTCTATTCTATTCTATTCTATTCTCATTCTGTTCTATTATTTTCTGTTCTAGTCTGTTCTAGTCTATTCTATTCCCATTCTCTATTCTATTCTATTCTAGTCCCATTCTCTATTCTATTCTATTCTATTCTATTCTATTCTATTCTATTCTATTCTATTCTATTCTAGTCACATTCTGTTCTGTTCTATTCTATTATTTTCTGTTCTAGTCTATTCTATTCCCATTCTCTATTCTGTTCTGTTCTGTTCTGTTCTGTTCTATTGTATTGTATTGTATTGTATTGTATTGTATTGTATTGTATTCTATTCTATTCTATTCTATTCATATATGCTATTCTATTCTATTCTATTCTATTCTATTCTATTCTATTCTATTCTATTCTAGTCCCATTCTCTATTCTATTCTATTCTATTCTATTCTATTCTATTCTATTCTATTCTAGTCACATTCTGTTCTGTTCTATTCTATTATTTTCTGTTCTAGTCTGTTCTAGTCTATTCTATTCCCATTCTCTATTCTGTTCTGTTCTGTTCTGTTCTGTTCTGTTGTATTGTATTGTATTGTATTCTATTCTATTCATATATGCTATTCTATTCTATTCTATTCTATTCTATTCTATTCTATTCTATTCTATTCTATTCTATTCTATTCTATGCCAATGACTGTCCAATCTCTTATTTAAAACTCCCAGTATTGGAGCACCCAAAACTTCTGGATGAGAAACGGTTGCACTGATTAATTGTTCTCACTGTCAGGTAATTTCTCCTTATTTCTAGGTGGCTTCTCTCCTTGATTAGTTTCGGTCATCCATCCCACTTAGTTTAATTCGCAAAGAAAGACTCCTGGAGAAAAGTTGAATTGTTCTGGTATTATCTTGTTCTGCGTTGTCCTGCTCAGAAGGATACCGTGGGAGTGGGGTTGTTGGGGTCCCCACTACTCTGCTTAAGCTTTTACAACACTTTTTCAACATTGCACTCATTTTCCCAAGGCTTACACTGGGGGAGAGCATGGTACACAAATGTAATGAATGCATTACAAGAAAAAAAATCAGTTGTGCTCTTTAGGGCTTCCTCTTGGACCTTCCCAGGAAAGGGGGAGGGGGTTGGCCTCCATCGCTGGGGAGGGGGGGGCTGAGGGCGGAGGCCCTCAAGCTCACCGTAGATGACGTCTTGGCGCTTCATGACTTCCTTCTTGTGCTGCTGCAGGAAGCTGTTGTCCACGGCCAAACTCCAGGAATCTGCGTCAAAATCCTTCTCGTCCATCTCAAAGTCACTCATCAACTGGCTATAAAGGACTTCAGCTCCTGGGGGGAAGAAAGGGCAAGGTTGTGTGTGTGTGAATTTTGACCATGGGACCGTGGGAAACCTGTGATGTTGGTAAGGGCAAGAGCTGGTCACACAGCACTTTTTTCAGTGCCACTGCAATTCTGAATGGTTGTTAAACAAATGGTTGGGTTAAGTTGAGGACTAAAGAGGTGCTGGATGGAGGAAGGACAGAGTCTGATCTTCCCTGGTTCCAGAGGGCAGGACGTATCGCAAGAGGGATGACCAAGTACAGGTAGTCCTTGACTTACGGTTCATTTAGTGACCATTCAAAGTTACAATGGCACTGAAAAGTGTGACTCAGGACCGTTTTTCACAGTTACGATCTTTGCAGCATCCCCATGATCACGTGATTAAAACTCAGATGGTTCATATTTATGACGATTGCTGTGTCCCCTTTTGGGACCTTCTGCCAAGCAAAGTCAATGGGGGAAACCAGATTCACTTAACAACCGTGTGACTAATTTAACAGCTGCAGGGGTTCACTTAACAACTGGGACAAGAAAGGTCGTAAAACGGGCCAAACCCCACTTAACAAATGTCTCACTTAACAACAGAAAATTGGGGTTCAATAGGTTGAGGACTACCCCGTACCCTGTATTGGGAATGCAAGAGCAGTGGGAAAGTGGGGAGCAAAGACCAAAGGAGAAGATGAGGAGACGGAGAGAGGATCCCCAACTTTGCTTAGGGATGTTCTGAGCAAGGATCTCTTGTAACTCTAGGATTCTAAGCTACCGGAATTAAAAATGAAATAAGCAAGGAAGATTTCAACGTGTCAGGTTTCTATAGATACCACCTCTGCCACCTTCTATTTTTTCCCCACAACAGCCCTTCGCTAGGAAACGTGCCAAGTCTCCTGCTGCAATATTGCTCTATTTAGTACTCTTCCTGAACAGGCTTTCTAATTCTCTAGAAGACAGAAACCAAGTTCAACACAATCTTATTAGATTAATGGGCTGAAAGTAACATAATGGAATTAAGTAGAGGCAAAGGTAGAGTTCTTCCCCAAAGCAATGCATTTATAGGAATAATCCTGGGCTGGAAACCGAATAAGAAGCAAAAGTGTGATGGGGATGCATGGAAGGTTAGTGGAATTATAGGCTGCAACAGCAGCATTTCAGCATCAAAGGAAGTAAGACTTTTCATTGGTTCTGCTTTGGTCTGATCCTCTTTCAAGCCCACGGTCCAGTTTGGGGTTCCATTTTTCAAGGAAGGTTGACCAACTAGTTTTTTCTCTTATCCCATCACTCCACTGAACACTGAATTCCCATTGCTCTGTCTCACTTCTCATCTTTTCTCATCCTCTCATCTTTCCTATTATCTTCTCCTATTGGTTTCTTATGATTTATCAGTTGTTTATTATGATCTATGACCTATTATTTGCTGTTTATATGTATCTGGGGAGCTTATGCACCAGAATCATACTTGGCCAATAAAGAATTCTATGATTCTATGAACTGAGCAGGTTCGGAGAAGAGTAGCGGATGAACAGTCTTATCAAGAGATGGAAAAATCTGAGAAAAATAGACTGAAGGAGGTGAAGAATTACATCGCTCTTCAAACATGAAAATATTCCATGGAGAAGATGATCACAAGCTGTTCTCTAGCATTCCACAGCATACGATAATGGCTTGAAGTTACAGGAAGTGAGACAGTTTGGTGTAGTGGTGAAGATGCTGGCACAGAAAAGTGGGAGACGGTGAATTCTAGTTCCACCCTAGACATGAAAGCCAGCTTGGTGACTTTGGGCTAATCATTAGGAGACGGTAAATTCTAGTCCTGCCCTAAACATGAAAACTGGCTGGGTGACTACCAGGAGACAAGGAGTTCTAGTCCCGCCTTAGGCATGAAAGACGGCTGGGTGACTTCGGGCCAATCACCAGGAGACAAGGAGTTCTAGTCCCGCCTTAGGCATGAAAGACAGCTGGGTGACTTCGGGCCTGTTAGTTTCTCTCAGCTCAACTCACCTCATGTGGGGGAAATGGGAGGAGGGAAGAATATTAGGTATGTCTACCATTGGGATAAAAATAAAATGAATGAATGAATGTTACAGGAGCAAGTGAGAATGTGCTGACCCAACCTTTGGGGCTGGAACAGATTGCCCCCTAAGAAAAGTTCCCATTTTCCTGGGGTCTTCTGGAAGCTTGTAAAACTTTGGAGACCTGGAAAGCCTTTGGGTCTTAAATGCTGCAATGCTAGGAATGTTGTCTTCATTGTAATTGCTAATCTGTTTTTTTATATATATATATATATATTGCATTTTTGTTACTGCCTGTTACTCTGATTGCAACAGTTGCAGCTTTTGGACACTGCTTAAAGCAGCCTTGAAGAGACTTATAAAGGCAGAAATAAATAAAAAGGCAGATTGCCACTGTATCTTTGGAAGTTTTTTTTTTTTTTCTACCCGTCAGGACAGTTTGATGCAGGAACCAGTGACCTCTTCAGCCACAGGCTGGGCAGCCTTCTGTTTGGGAGGCTTCCATTGGACTTCCTGCACGGATCAGATGGTGGACCAGATGGCCTCAAAGGACCTTTTCCAAATTTTAGGATTTCACCTGTTTTCCTCCAGTGTGTGTGTGTGTGGGGGGGGAAGGAATCCAGACTGACCCCTCCAGCGTTTTCTGAACCATTTCTTTGAATGTCCTTGAAGTGTGTGCACATAAACACGGTTGTCGGTGTGTGAACCCTCCTCCCCTCACCTTCGTCAATGAGCGACTCGACGGACAAGGTGCGGTTGCGCATGTTCAGGGAGTCGGTGGACTGAGAGAGGATCCTCCGGATGCCCAGCGGGGATTCGTCGTTGAAGCTCCTGAAAAGGAAAGCAAAATTCATGGCCACGAGTGATTGTCATCGCAGGGAGTCCCCGACTTACAACGGTTCGTTTAGTGACCGTTCAAGGGTACAATGGCACTGAAAAAAGGACCGTTTTTCACAGTTAATGACCTTTGCAGCATCCCCCCAGGGTCACGCGATCAAGATTCAGACTCCTGGCAACTGGTTCATATATTTACGACGGTTGCAGTGTCCCGGGGTCACTTGGTTCCCTTTTGCGACATTCTGACAAGCCAAGTCAGTGGGGAAACCAGATTCACTTAACAACCCTGTGACTCACTTAACAACTGCAGCGATTCACTTAACAACTGTGACAAGTAAGGTTGGGCTCAACCGTGGTCGTAAGTCAAGGACAACCTGTATGAACTATCTTTGAGGTGCAGTGGACAAAACCTTTATCCTCTCCTGCCAACTGGCAGATGCTTTGGTGGGCACCAGTTGGAGGTGAGCTGTACACCTGCATTCCAGCAGAATAACAGAGTTGGAAGGGACCCTGGAGGTCTTCTAGTCCAACCCCCAACTCAAGCAGGAGACCCTATACCGGGGGGTAGGCAACCTTGGCTCTTTTATGACTCGTGGACTTCAACTCCCAGAATTCCTGAGCCAGCATGGCTCAGCTTGGAAACCTCTCCCTTTCCCCTCAGCATGGCTGGCTCAGGAATTCTGGGAGTTGAAGTCCACAAGTCATGAGAGGGCCAAGGTTGCCTACCCCTGCCCTATACCCATTCTGGACAAATGGCTGTCTAATCTCTTCTTGAGAACCTCCAGTGATGGAGCAGCCACAACCTCTGGAGGGAAGCCGTTCCACTTATTGTTAAATTTCCACTTGTTCCTTCTTGTCTGGCCCGCAGGTGCTTTGGAGAATAAGTTGACCCCCTCTTCTCTGTGACAGCCCCATAAATCTGCTATGATGCCACCCCTAGTCCTTCTTTTCACTGTCCGTGTTTCCCCCAAAGTAAGATCGGATCTTTTTTTTTCCCCTCCAAAAGAGGCACCAGGTCTTATTTTGGGGGGGGGGGATGTCTTTTATACTTACCTCCGGCACCGAAAGCGCCATACAGCTGGCCCACTTCTACGGCCGAAGGAGCAGCTTAATTCCGGTCTGCATTTTGCAGTCAAGGCCTTTATGGCAGGACACTGCAGCCGAGTACCGAGCTACGGATTCAATCCATAGCTCGGTTCTCGGCTGCAGTGGCCTTCCGCAAAGGCCTCTGACTAAGAAGTGGGCCGGTGAGGAGAGGCCCGGCTGTGAGGTAAGTGAGTGCGGGGCGCATGGGGCAGATCCACCCCTCCACCCCTGCCCTAGCTTGATTTTTAGGTGTGTGCCTCGCCCCAAAACTAGGGCTTATTTGGGGGGGGGGTTAGGGCTTATATTAGGCCCACCCCCAAAAATCAAGCTAGGGTTTATTTTCGGGGTAAGCCTTACTTTCGGGGAAACAGGGTAGAGTAGACATACCCGGTTCTTACAACTTTCAGAGCACCCCACAGATGTGTTTTTCCTGAATTTCACAGACAAATCCTCTGTTTGGTTAACTCACCCTGCAATGTTTGTCGTGGAGACACTTTTGGAAAGCGACAAGCTAGGACGGCCTCGGCGGGATCCCAGCAAGGTCTGCCGGAAACTCTCTGACGGGTAAATGGCAGAATTGGGACGCTCCCGTGTGATGGCTAAAAAACAGGAACAGGCACCCAGCGAGGGTTAGAAGGCAGACTAATAATAATAATAATAATAATAATAATAATAATAATAATAATAATAATAATAATAATAATAATAATAATAATAATAATAAAAATAAAAATAAAAATTGGAAGGGACCTTGGAGGTCATCTAGTCCAACCCCTTGCTCAGGCAGGAAACCCTATACCATTTCAGACAAATGGTCTCTTCTTAAAAACTTCCAGTGTTGGAGCATTCACCGCTTCTGGAGGCAGGTTGTTCCACTGGTTAATTGTTCTAACTGTCAGGAAGTTTCTCCTTAGTTCTAGGTTGCTTCTCTCCTTGATGAGTTTCCATCCGTTGCTTCTTCTCCTGCCTTCAGGCGCCTTGGAGAATAGCTTGACTCCTTCTTCTTTGGGGCAGCTCCTGAGATACTGGAACACTGCTATCATGTCCCCCCTCGTCCTTCTCTTCATTAAACTAGACATCCCCAATTCCAGCAGCCGTTCCTTATATGCTTTAGCCTCCAGTCCCTTAATCATCTTTGTTGCTCTTCTCTGCACTCTTTCTAGACATCTTTTTTACATCGTGGTGACCAAAAGTATTCCAAGTGTGGCCTTACCAAGGCCTTGTAAAGTAGTATTAACACTTCACATGTTCTTGATTCTATCCCTCTGTTAATGCAGCCTAGCACTGTTCTGTTCTTTTGAAACCCAGCCCTTTTGCATTTTTCAGGATGGAAAAAAAAATATATACTTTGGATGGCCATGAAGAAAAATCCTTTGGCTCAAGGCAACCTAGTACCCTTCTCCTTCTCTGGACCCAAGAAGAGCAATCCTGAAGATGTGATTAAAAAAAAAGGAAAGACTGTCTGGCACTCAAGAGTTGTCAAGATATCTCGAGAGCGGAAATGAGAAGAGAATCCAACACCCAATTTTCGATTTAAAAAGGGATGCAAGTTCAAGAGTGTCAATCAAATCCCATTCTCGGTTTATTTTCTAGTTCTTAGCTTTTAAAACGATGATCTGTATCCCACCCTTCTTATGTTAGACTACGACCATAACAAAGATTTGATATACAGGTAGTCCTCTACTTATAACCATTCGTTTAGCGACAGTTCAGAGTTACAATAGCACTGAAAAATGGTGACATGACCGTTTTTCACACTTATGACCATTGCAGGTGATTTACATTTGGATGCTTGACTCACATTTATGACGCCTGCAGCGTCCCGGGGTCACGTGATGCCCTTTCGTGACCTTCTGACAAGCAAAGTCAATGGGGGAAGCCAGATTCACTTAACAACCAGGTGACTAATTCGACAACTGCAGTGATTCGCTTAAGAAACGTGGCAAGAAAAGTCGTAAAATGGGGCAAAATTCACTGAGCAAATGTCTCACTGAGCAACATAAATTTTGAGCTGAACTGTGGTCGTAAGTCGAGGACTGCCTGTATAACAGCCTGTACCAAAGACAGGAAGCTGCTCCTTGCTCTCTGGGCATCGGCTGGACTTGCAAGCAGGGGATTCCCAGCCCCCCCAAACTCACTTTTATTCCTGAGGGACACTGTCTGCAACGCCGAACTGTTCTTCAGCAAGGCGGCTTTTTGCTGCTGCAGGGGGGGGCAAGAGAAGGAAGAAAGAAGACATCAAAAAATAGCAGTTTGATCAAACTCAGATCAAGAAGCCTGGAAGGTCCTTGTCTATTTTTCAGGGAGCTAAGATAGCTCTCTTAGCCCAACCCTCCTCACAGAGTTACTGTTGAGGAGCAAATAGGTGGAGGAAGTCAGGTTGGATATGTTTACCACCCTGAGTTATTTGTAAAAAAAAGGGGGGGGGTACAAATAAATAAATAGTCCATCAATCGATCTTAGGAAGAGAAAACACCCCTTCCCGAAATTTCTGTCCCCATTTTCTGTCTGGCAGAGGGCTTTTATAAAAGACTAGCTGTCCCCGGCCACGCGTTGCTGTGGCTCAGTCTGGTAAAAGCGTGTGTTGCTTTTACGTCCAACAGATGGCGCTGTTTTTCAAAAAAAGCATGTTTTTACCTGTCACAGGTGTGACATCTATATAATATAGGTATATGAAAACACGCGCGTATTCGAATGCGACGTTGTGTCAAAATTTCAAAGCAATCGGTGAAGAACTTTCGGAGATTTAAGATTGTGAACAAACGAACATTTACATTTTTATTTATACATAGATTGCAGATGTAGACTCTCTGAGGCCCAGCCTCCTTCCTCCTAGATCAGTAGTGGCGAACCTATGGCACGCGTGCCAGAGGCAGCACTTGGAGCCCTCTCTGTGGGCACACATGCTGTTGCCCCAGCCTCGCCTCCCCCCATGACCCCCTCCTCACCACCAGCCCCTCTGGAGGAGAGTCGCCCCCGAGGGTGGCCCACGCGGAGCAGCGCAGCCAAGGACATGGCAGCCAGGCAGCGTGGACAAGACTCTGTCCTCATGCTCCATCGCGCACAGTTGGTGCGGGCAGAGGGCATGGCCGCCATGGTGCTGCTGGGCTGCCTGGGCGATCTCCGGCGGGCCCTGGAGGCGGTGAGTGGCCCTGCGGGCAAGCAGGGCAGGGGGCAGGCTAGAGGCGGGGCCAGTTTTGGGGCACTCGGTCTCTAAAAGGTTCGCCATCCCTGTCCTAGATCCTCTGGAAACCCCTGGACAGAGAATATCTTTTTTTTAAAAAAAAAATATATCTGTGAATTGCCAAATGAATTACTGAGCCCTTCTCATCCCTGGCACTTTCCAAGGGTCAGCCGAGGGACGAATGGCCCTATGCTACTGATGATCCAAAGGGCAATGAAGCCCCTTTGTGAAATGCCCTTCCAGTCTTTAGTTTTAGGGTCATGCTTCAAAGCTTGAGGATGTTTTCAAAAGCAGAAGTTGATTGTCCCCAGGTCCGAAATCAGGGCGAGGCAACGGGAAGGGCAGAGGGCCGTGCCTGCCTGCCTGCCTGCCAATCCTCTTTTGCCACCACCTGCTCACCTTTTGCTTGACTTTGGTGCAGTTTGGTAGGCTGTCTTTGCATCGGTTGTGGATGGTCACATTACAGGCTGGAAAGGAAAAACAAAGGCGGTTTGAGAAAGAGACGTCAAAATACATCGGTTGCACGTAGACGCAAACCCACACGGATTGGCACACTTGACTGATCTCCAAAAGCTGCACTTCATCAGCAGGTGGGTGGGACACCACTAGGAAATCCTAGGGCCATAGGTCAGGAGTCCCCAACCCCCAGGCCGTGGACCGACACCGGTCTGTGGCATACCAGAAATCCATAAAAGATCAACTTTTAAATGGTCGAGGGCAGCGGTCTCCAACCTCAAAAGGTTGGACCAGAACAAGAAAACACATGTGAAACATGGGACCCTCCTTTCTCCCAACTAAGATGATGGCTCATCTCCTCCTGGATGCTCTCGTGGATCACACTAAGACAAAAGGTGGATTGCGGGATTTGGGTTTCAGGTAAGTCTCTGCTAAGCTAGTTGTGGTTTGTAAACCACGATTGATGGCTTAGAGCATTACCTGAAGACAGCCTGTTTGCCTTAATTCAACAAGCCATGTTTTTTAAATAAATGTAAGTTAGTGTGATGTGTGAAGACAGGTTGACTGGAAGCTGCCAAGATTTAATAGAGCCTTGTTGAAGCAAAGCTTTATCACAAGCCTGCAAAATAGCAATAGCAACAGCACATATATACATATATACAAATATACATACATACATACATACATAATGTACACACACACACACACACACACACACACACACATCCCGCTTCATAGCGCTTTACAGCCCTCTCTAAGTGGTTTACAGAGTCAGCCTCTTGCCCCCAAGGGTCCTCATTTTACCGACTTCAGAAGGATGGAAGGCTGAGTCAACCTGGAGGCAGTCAGGATCAAACTGCCGGCAGTGGGCAGAGTCAGCCTGCAATGCTGCATTCCAACCACTGCGCCATCACGACTCTTACAGTCTTGTAGCTATGATCGATATATCAGGTATGTTAAGTCCCACTGACTTCCAGAATATAGTATTTTAGTATGAGAAAAGTAAGATGCTGCACTTAGGCAGGAAAAACCAAATGCATAAGTAGCTGAGGTGGCACTTGACACAACAATAGTAACTCCTTGGACTCCTAGTGGATAATCCCTTAAATATGAGCCATCCGTGTGCCGCAACTGCCCCAAAAGCCAACACACCCCTAGGCTATATCAACAAAGGGATAGTTTTAAGATCACGAGAAGTGTTAGTACCACTTTATACCACAGTGGTCAGACCACATTTGGACTACTGTGTCCAATTCTGGTCACCATGATGCAAAAATGATGTTGAGAGCCTGGAAAGGGTGCAGAGAAGAGCAACAAAGATGATCAAAGGTCTGGAGACTAAACTGTATGATGAACAGTTGAGGGAACTAGCTGTGTCTAGCCTACCGAAGAGAAGGATTGGGGGGGCATGATAACTGCCTTCCAGTAGTACTTGAGGGTCTGTTACAAAGAAGAGGGGATTGACTTATTCTATAAGGAACCTGAGGAGTAGGACAAGAAGTAAAGGGTGAAAGCTTATCAAAGACAGATCCAACTGTAGAACTAAGGAGAAATTTTCTGACAGTGAGAATAATTAATCAATGAAATAAACTTGCCTCCTGGGGTTGTGAATGCTCCACCACTGGAGGTTTTCAAGAAGAGACTGGACCACCATTTGACTGAGATGGTGTAAGACTCCTGCCTTGAGCAGAGGGTTGGACTAGAAGACCTCTGAGGTCCCTTCCAGCCCTATGATTCTATGATTCTAATCCACGGCCTAGTACAGTGGGATAGATAGGTACGACAAATGCATTAAAAGAGGGCAATTTGAGGAGATCTGAGAAAGAAGTCAGCCCCTCTAGGTACAATCAGATGGACCCTGGGATTCAATAAGCCTTTGAAACTTCCACCTACTGGTCTCTCAGGAACAGTTCCACTAACATGTCCATTCCTTAGAGAGGTTTGCTCTCATATACCATCTAGAAAAGGGCTTTTCAACCTTTTCATCCATTGTGCCACTTTTAGGATATGGCAACATCCGAGTACCACCAGTCGCCTAGCAAGGGGTCAAAAACCCGATGACCAAAAAAAAAGGAAAAAAGTGATGAAGTACAGGTAGTCCTCGACTTACAACAGTTCGCTTAGTGACTGCTCAAAGTTACAATGGCACTGAAAAAAGTGCCCCCCAAGGCACAGCCGAGCAAGACACCTGCCTGCCCACCCGGTGGCGCTCTTCCTCCTGTCCCAGGTTTCCATTGTTGTGAGCATTTCTGTTGAGGATTGGCAGCGTGTGTGGGGTGGGGGTGTTTGGTTTTTATCCCCCCCGTCTGCTGGGTGGTTGCAGCAGGTTTTGGTCACTTCACATGACCCTGGGACATTGTGACCGTCATAAATAGGAATCAGTTGCCAAGCATCTGAATGTAAATCACAAGACCCTGGAGATGCTGCGACATTCCAGCTGATCGGCGCTTCTTCTGGGCTCAGCAGAAGCACCAGGATCAGTGCCGAGCTCCAGCTGGGGCCTGGCGCTGATCCTGGCGCTTCCGCTGAGCCCTGACAGCCCCGAAGAAGTGCTGATCAGCTGGAGCCTGGCGCTGATCCTGGGGCTTCCTCTGAGCCCTGACAGCCCTGCAGCTCCAGCCGTCTCTCGCTCAGGCTTGTGCGGTGCTGCCACCGGTTCAGCTCATTCCCCTCCCCCGCTACCACTTTTCTAGGATGGTCGCGTATCACCTGCCAGGTGCCAATGTACCACAGGTGGTACCCGTACCACTGGTGGAAAAGCCCTGGTTTAGAAGGCAGACTGTGTAGATCAAGCAAGTCAATTTGGAATCCAGATCCCAATGCATAGTTCAAAAAACTTAAGACTGTCCTTGATTTACCCCTAGACTCCAGAGGGCTTAAAAAATCCACTTGGTTTTTAGGGAATCTATACTTTTTCTTCAGTACTCAGAATATCCTGCAGTTCCCATTGTAGCCTAAAGGACGCGGCCCCTTCACCAATTCAGTGACTCAGAGAACTGTTGAGAAACCCAAGGCGGGCGGGAAGTGATCTGAACAGGAAGAGAACTTGACTGTTCAAAGAGTCATTTCCTGATTGTGTCTGTACTGGGAAAGGAAGGGAAGGGCAGGGCAGGAGGGGAGAGCCGCAGATCTATTGTGGAGTTTTAAAAGAAGCAGCTGCTACAGATGCCAGTCTGCACTGAGAAGGTGGGGGGGGGGTGTTTTGGACCGGAGGGAGACTGGAGGCTCAATTTTTTCCCCGAGCCATTTTCTCTCTCTCAAAAGCCCCACACTTGGTTTATGGCGGCTTGCTAAGAAACTGGAGAGGATCTCATTGCAGATGCTGCACAACCACGCAGGCCTGCTGGTTCTAGTCCAGGAGAACTCGTCCGCTCCATGCAAGGAAAAGAAAAGGCCAGGCCGAATCTGAAGAAGCAGACCCCAGGCACGGTCTCAGGGCTTCCCAAGAGCTGCTGGTGGTAACAGCAAGGAAGTCAGAATCAGAATAGAGCTGGAGGGGACCTTGGAGGACTTCTAGTCCAGCCCCCTGTTCAAGCAGGAGATCCTGTACCATTTCAGACAAGTCTCTAGTCTGCACAGCGGCACAAGATGCTCTACAGCTCGTCTTTTCTACTTTTATTCGGAGCGGGAAACAGAGAGACGGAACCTGCAGAAATCCTGGAAGAATTATAATACAGGTGGTCCTCGACTTAACAGCAGTTCACTTAGTGACCGTTCAAAGTTACAACCGGCACTGAAAAAAAATATTGACGACCATTTTTCACACTCATGACCATTGCATCCTCCCCATGGTCACGTGATCAAAATTCAAAAGCTTGGCAACTGGCATGTACTTATGACAGTTGCTGTGTCCCGGGGTCATGTGATCCCTTTTTGCAACCTTCTGACCAGCAAAGTCAATGGGGAAGCTGGATTCGCTTAACAAGCGTATTTCTAATTGAACAACTGCAGCGATTCACTTAACAAATGGGGCGAAACTCACTGAATAAGTTTTTCACTTACAAACATAAATTCTGGGCTCAGTTGTGGCCATAAGTCGAGGACTACCTGCATTGGGACCCCTCTTGCAAAGATAGACACCCCCCCCGAGACAAATTTGATTTCATGAACATAATTAATATTCTTATACTACACCATGTAAGTAGTCCTCGACGTACAACCACAATTGGGACCAGGATTTCCATTGTTAAGCAAGGTAGTAAAATGAGAGGTGCCCAATTTTTGGCCATGGAGAAGCGAATCACTTCTGTTGTTAAGTGAATCGTCTGATCCTTAAGCGAATCCAGCTTTCCCCCTTGACACTGCTTGTCGGAAGCCACTGGGAAGGTAGCAAGTGGCAATCACACAACCCTGGGACGCTGCAACGGTTGTGAATACATGCTGTTTTCCTTGTTCCCTTCTGGGAGGAGGAGGCTTCGTGGTATCCGAAGCAGAACATCCAGATTCAGCCATAGTTTCGTTCCATACAGCATTAACCTTGTGAACTCTCAAGCTTCCTCCTTCCGTTATATATTCAAGATGGACAGTATTTAATATTTATTTGCTATGTACAGTATAAGTAGGGATGTGGGTCTATACATATGTTGTTCATAGTATGTTTAGGTGTGTGTCATGTATGTGTTTCACTTTGAGAGCGGGCAACTAAATTTCATTTTTGATGTGTGCCGTTGTGCCCACAGTAAAAAAATGACAATAAAGGTTATCTTATGCTGGTTACTAAGTGCCCAATTTTTGATCATGTAATGGTAGAGATGCTGTGACATTCATTTAAGGGTAAAGATCAGTTGTAAATATCACTTTTTTCAATGCCATTATAACTTTGGTCACTAAATGAATGGTTGTAAGTCAAGGGGATCCTCTCCTCTCTCTCCCTCTCCTCTATCTCTCCCTCTCCTCTTCTCCCCTCCCACTTTGGACTTCCCCTGAGATATTTTTATGACTATCCAGTCTATTCTCCAGCTCTGCATTTCCTAGTGGTCTCCTGTCCAGGTTTCAAACAGTTTGCTTAACT